ATGGAGTGGACTTGTCAGTGATGGTCATACTCGCTTTGTGAGTCAAGATCCACTACTATGTGTGTTCCCTAGATAGAGCTCAAACGATGCATCATACCCCAACCAAATCAGGAGACATACTGTAACTTAAACCTCTGCCAGAGTCTAGTGCCAACTTTCATTAAATACTAGAGCTGACTGGGTTCTTAAGCCTTGACTGGCAACCAGTTTTGGAGAGAAATAACTCGAATTTAGCACCGTTCGGGTATAAAGCTAGCAACTCCATCACGTAAAACTGCTTACTATTAAAAACACACAGCACTAATTTCTAGCATGTTGAAAATTGTGGTGCCATATATTTTAGTAAATCAATTGTTAGGCACTAAAAAGTACTTTTGATACACATAATATCTATATATATTACTAAACCTCTAATCTTGTATGTGTGTGTGTTCCCGAGATACAGCTTAAATAATATCCCAACCGATTTAGAAGTAGGTTGTAACTTGAACCCTTGCTGATAAGATTTTATTAAAATTACACAAAGGTTTCTTGAGCTAGTGTCGTTTTTCTGTTTACGACATTTTTAATAGGAAATACAGTATTCATTTTCGATACACGTTCTCATATCAATCCGCCAATATAAACAAACACTTCAATATTATATTCCAAATATTAAGCGTGGGAAAAAATAATAAATATCCATAATGCATTATAGCAACATGCATAAATGAATTTAAATATGCATAACACAACATAAATTTATACAATTAATTACACTACATTCAGGTTTTTTTTTATAAGCAACTTCCCGAGAGGTGAAGAGGTTAAATACGCCACAGAACTTGATGGTATGAATTGGTGCCATTTTATATTTTGAAATAAATGCAAGGAAGGAACACGTGTGTATATTAAATATATACTTATTTAAAAAAAAAAGCCTACATCAGTTTTAAGCTATTGCTCCAGATTTTATGTTAATTATGAACACCAGTGGAACAATAAACCTGCTTTTACGCCTTTAAAATACCGCCTCCTGTGGTATTGTCTCTTTTGTATAATAATTCTACAGGCATTTTGTGTCTTTCCTTGTAGTGAGTGCAGTATAGTATTTTAGTATTAATGTCATATTTGTGTCATTGTAGTTGTATTTTAGTTCTTTATGATGGGATGGTCCATTTGTGTGTGAATTGCATTAAGTTTCAATAGGTGACATGTTAATCGACGAGAGAGTGTGGTTTGTGTCTGACTGATTTACTGTTATTTATTGATTACTGAGAGAGGAAAATGAGAATTAATAAGCAATATTTTCCCGTGTAAGCAATCACTTTGTAACCGTTCTACACATGACTTAAATAGTACAATACAAATAGATTCGGATTTGAAGTATAGTGTTCCAAATTCTTCTCTAAGAAAGCCACGACATTCTTGATAATGACTGGGACGGCCAAATCTCATTCAAACAATGAAAAACACGAATAGTAACTATGGACAGTGTATTCACAAATCTGAGTCGGATCTACAAGAGGTTTTTTAAAGATTAGATAAAGATTCAATAAAGAATGAGACAGGTTGAACTTTAAAATATATATATATATATATATATATATATATATATATATATATATATATTAATTCATTTAAAATAGGGTTTTTTCACACACAGTTCTAACCATGTTTCAAAAATGGAAGCTAAAAGCTTCGAATTTAATTTTCTAATTATATATATATATATATATATATATATATATATATATATATATATATATATATATATATATATATGATGCAAAGCTCTTCTATGAGTCACTGGCGTATTTATTCTAAAATAAATACATAAAAATTCACCTTCCTCTCTGCCGGGAAAAAAAATCTTCGTCAGATGCCAAATCAGCTGGGTTTCGATCCTGGTCTGAGGTAATCGAATGTCTAGCCACACTGATGAGCAGTTATACAGCAAAACAGTCTTTCTGTGTATCACACTCTCTCTCACACACACAACACATACACACACACACACACGCATATATATATATGAAAAATACAAATTAAAATGTGAAATTAATAATAAAATTGATAATATTGTTACCTCATCATTTTGTATCAAGCACTGCTTTTAAAATAAACCTAACCAATTTATGGGAGGTCTAATCACATTTAAAAATCTATTCAGGCTTCTTCCTTTTATGGTCTGAATTCTTTGCAGTTTTATTCCTTGCGTGATGAAATCAGATTTTAAATTGGCAGAAATGTTAATTGCCTTCATTTATAATTTGGGAATAATTAATTTAAAGATACTTCAATAGCCAATATTTAAATTTAATATGCATATTTGTTAGCAGGTTTTGACATATTAAAATGAATAGGCTAAATGATAAGATGTAACTCATCATAATCGTCATCGTTATTATCAGACCTATGACCTTTGAAGCACCGGTTATCGCATGATTACTGAAGTTAAGCAAGCTTGAGCCTGGTCAGTACCTAGATAGGTGACCGCCTGGGAATACCAGGTGCTGTCACCGGGTAGTGTAACCGATAATGGCTCGGAATTGTTAATCGGAGAGCCGAGTTGTGATCCCAGTTGGGGGCGTTATATTCAATTACGCGATATGCTCTTGAGTAAAGGTACGAATCCATCTTTTCTACCCCAGCTATGGAATAACTAGTAAGACATATATCACTAAATCATTATTATCCAAAAAAAGTTCTTAAAATCTAGAAATATTTTCTGGCTATAAATAACTTACAAAGGGTTGATAAACCGTAAAACATAGATTAATAAAATAAACAATGTAATATGTAAAACAGTTTCACAGAGCTTGACTTCAAAGAAAGAATGTACGAAAGATTTTTAAAAGTTTTATTATTTTATACAGAAAATAAATGCTTTATACACCCATTAAAATACCTCTACGTGGCAAAAGATATTTTATTAATACGTATTGTTTCTTTTCTATAATAATATCTTCGAGTATTTTGCGTCTTTCCTTGTAGGGAGTGCAGTATACTATTTTAGTACTATCAAGTCATATTTGTGACATATTAAAGGTTGCGTTTTTAGTTATAAAGTACAGGCTCTCGAGAAAGCAGTGGAGCAACATGTTCCATAAGTTTTCTATGGGTTTGAGGTCAGGAGATTTGTGCGGCCATGTCGTAACACTCACCTGTTTCTCATCAAAATATTGCTTCATCAATTTTTATTTGTGACAGGGAACATTATCCTGCATAAAAATGAGCTTGGTGGGATAGATTTGCACCCTTTCTGCAAAAGGGAGCAGAAAAGACTCTTGTACTGCTCACTCCTGAGGGTCTTTTCAATAGGTTTTAAGAAACCAGTTCCATGAAAAGAAAAGCACCCCCAGAACATTATATTGAACGGATGCTTGGCAGTACTTAATCCTAAATTCAAAGAGCTTTCAAAGCCTCTTCTTCGGATTTTAGATCGCTTATCCTTTGAATTTAGCTCAACTTTCGTTTCATCGGAGAAGAGAACATTTAGTAAAAAAAATCAGGTGAGTCACTTTTATCGAACAGAACTGTATACGTTTTTCGAAATTTCGTGTTGGTGATGATGTTTAAAAAAATAAACTGAATTAAATCTTTTTTCATTATTTTTTAACAAAAGTTCATCAAATTATGATACAGAAAATAAAATATTTTACAAAAATTCAAAACGTCATAAACCTAATATATATATATATATATATATATATATATATATGTGTGTGTGTGTGTGTGTGTGTGTGAGAGAGTGTGTACATATAAATATATATTTTCATCTACAAGTTATTCTACATTTTGTAGATTAAATATTTTTACAGGATATTCAGTGATGATTTCAAAACATCAATTACTTTTCGAAATCCGTAAAAAATATACGTGACCGGAATTCTGGCGCCGATAAACATATGTGTGATTATATTTACATAAACACTTCATACTGCACACACATTAGTATATATATATATATATGTGTGTGTGTGTGTGTGTGTTTTATGTTGCATACACACATGCATACACACACACACACACACACACATATATATATATATATATATATATATGTGTCTGTGTGTGTATTTGTGTTCGCGCAGCATACACACACACATATGTATATATATATATATATATATATATATGTGTGTGTGTGTGTGTGTGTGTGTGTGTGTGTGTGTGTGTGTGTGTGTGTGTGTGTGTGTGTGTGTGTTCGCGCATAATGCTGTGGCTATCTACCCGGAAAATAGAATCGCATGATTCCGGTCGATGCTGTGGCTTTTCCTTTCAAACAATGACTCTCAAGAAAGGTTGTCTGAAGTTCGTCTGCTGTTAGATGAGATAAACTTAGTCTTCAGAACTGAGGAGAGATGTGTGCGCCCTTTATCAGTTATCAGTTTTTTTTTCCTAAAAATCTGTCTCGTTCTACACAAGCCTTCACTTATGACTTGCTTACGGTTAAATCACGCTGAAACACCGGTTCTCGTTCGATCACCGAAGTTAAGCATCGTAGAGCCAGGTCAGTACTTAGATGGGGGACCGCTTGGGAACACCTGGTACTGTAAGCCCCCAAAGTCCAACCCTTACCTCACAGTTGGTGGTGGGGGAGTAAACGGTAATGTCAGAGCTATGCCGCCCGGAACTTCGTTTCTGGTAGGGCCACCCAAGGCGGTCAGGTCTGACACACACGCCGGCTAACAAGGGCTCTGGTGAAAATCCAAAGCGCGTCTGCATCGGTAACCGGCGGCTTCTGGTCGTTCCTGTCTCTGCGTCTGTGGGAATCCCGCGGCAAGCAAGAACGTTATCCGAGTAGGCCTGGGTACCCTACTTCTGTAATTTATCCCAAGAATCTTCTTCTCATAACAGGAAGAAGCCGGCTCAATCCGCCCAGGGTGAATGCCGCATCAGTACAGTACAGTAGTACAAGCCTTCACTGGCATAATCATTGTGCAGTCTGACGGTCGAGTCCTTAAAAACAACAATCAACTGTTAGACCCCCTCCTACGTGGAATTTTGACTTGAGATTCCAGTATACAGACATTCACACATATATACTTATTTCTTAAACGTTATTTTTTGGGATACTCGTATTTGAGGATATGCTCCGTTAAATTCGGCTTGAATATTTGAGAAAATCTTAAAAATATGCGGTCTTCGGCAGAATTTGAACATGCGTTCCCCTCGAGGAACCGTCACTAGATCTGGCGTGCGTTAACCTTTCGGCTACCGAGTGCGTCAATGAACAAGCAAAGTTGAATAGTGCCTTTAAACACAGATCTTTCTCTGACGATTGAAATAGACGTATCTGCTGAGTTTCGTATCCTTACTTAAAGCATTCACTAAAAATAACTTTTATTTAATAAAAATTTGTCGTAAAAATAAAAAAAATGCGTCCCTTTGATTATACATATATATATATGAAGAAATATAGTCTTAAGATGTGCTATATTTATGGGATAAAGTGATCTATATCAGAGATAGAGCGTGTGTAAATATAAAAGTGAACATTGAAGTCAGGCATGACGATTGCATTTAGCATGAAACAGACTGTCACCTCTAAGTGATGATTTCTATGTTCACTTTTATATATATATATATATATATATATATATATATATATATATATATATATAAAAGAAAAGCAGACCACTTTTAAGGTTCTATTGTTATAAATAATTTCACTAGAGATTTTATTTTTCTCTGGATCTTCAGACTTCATTTCAAGGGTGAAAAATGAATTTAAAATTTACACTTATGAAGGGTAGTATTAAGCTTATATAAGGTGACATAGAGTATTCATTTCACCATATATATATATATATATATATATTATAAATTAATTGATTTAAAATATGGTTATTTTCGCTACACAGTTCCAACCATGTTTCAAAAATAAAATATCTATAAGAACACCGGATTTTATATCTTACTGTTCTTTCTTTTTATTTATATACATATATATATATATATATATATATATATATATATATATATATATGTAAAAAAACGGAGTGTAAGATTTTAGCGTTCAAAACATTAATTTAAAACAGAGCTCAATACAAAAGTAGAGCCCTATATATTTCTCTTTATTATGCAGTGTTACATTAGAACGTGCACATATCCACTATAAAACTGTACATCTTGTTTCAACGTTAAAAAATCTTTTTTAACGTTTCATCAGATGGGTATTCACGATGCAACAGAAATATTTTATTCATTCAGAAATGAAGTTATCAAAGCATAGCTTCCACTTCCGTCACTGGAAAGTTTCCCATAAAGGTATAAAAGAATTTACATGTGGAGAAAGAAAGGAATCTAAGTGATTAGTAACAGCGAGAGGAAGAAGAGAAATATGTGTGCGTGTGTGTGCCTGTGTGTGTGTCTGGGGGGGGGGTTCCTGTGTGTTTGTGTGTGTGTATACGTATATCACAGTATATATGCTTCTGAAAAATTTATTTCAGTTGAGCTCTCTGGGGAGGAAGTGTGGGTTTGTAAACAGTGACTATTACGGCTAATAATGCAAGACTCTTCGGTAAATCGAATCGAGTTCTCTCAGTCACTGTGTGTTTATCTAAAAATAAATACGCTTAATTTCATCTTTATCCCTGCCGTGCGGCAAGAATACCCGTCTGGCGCCAATTCAGTCAGGTTTCGATCCTAGCTAGAGGCAACCGGACGTCTAGCCACACTGATGAGCTGTGGATAACAATATATATATATATATATATATATATATATATATATATATATATATATATGTGTGTGTGTGTGTGTGTGTGTGTGTGTGTGTGTGTGTGTGTTTGTGTGTGTATGTTTGCACGTGCGCATACGCCTACTGATACGTTTATATGATTGATCGTTGCTACAGTACGAGTAAGCTAGCAGAAAATGCCAAACCCTACCGTACTGGTCAGAACTCTGATGACCCAAACATAGTGGGAGTGGTTTGAACTTCGTGGGAGTGGAATCCTATCAGTGATGGATTGCCTTTGCTTACATACTTGTTGACATATAAGCGTGTGAAAACGGTCAGTAATGCTTCCCAATAGAGGAGTGAAGACACGGCTGTGTTCCCAGGTTGTCTAGCAGGCTTCAGCAACGAGAGATTGCTGACGGACGCATAGAGGTCCGTTCTAGCTACCCACATCTCCTTCTCACTTGGAATCCCCATTGAAGAATTTCCGATAGCCAACTAGACGGCAGAGACGACACGCAACATTAAGTGTGAATCTTGAGAATAAATGTTCTTTCAAAATAGTTTTGTTTAGGCATAGACTCATCAATAATGATTTTTCTAAATTAGATTGTCGACAAAGTTTTATTTACGACAGAATCGTACGCTTACAAGTGCCGAATATAAAAACAACAGTTCAATTAATTTTATTTTCTCCTAATTAGATTCATTCAAATGACAAACAAGATAAAATAAAATAAAAATCTAATCCGTACATACATTTTGCCTACATACAAAAATGAATATCTACGATCCATTATCTATTAGAACCTGTTCAAAAGACTTAGTAG